GGAATTTACGCTTAAATCTCTTTCCACCATGCGAACGGGAGCCAATCATATCACATAGTATTTGCCTTACTAGCATTAAGGTGGTATTCTTCTAGTTCTAATGTCATGTGGCATCTTTTATATTTTTATGCCTTTATTGTGGTCACATGTTCCCAATTTTGAGGCAATAATCTTATGACAGCTTGAACTTGTTGTTCATTATTAGGACATGACATGTATCTCTCAACTCACTAATCATGTTTGACATGTACTTAAGGTTGCCTCATAGTTATGTTCAGATTTTTTCTTTATGTGTCAAACTTGATTATAAGTGACCAAAGTTTTGCTATTGACATTCCACCAAACTTTTCAGTAGGCGGACCACATGTCCTTTGCTAATTCATACTCTAGGTATTTTTTCATGAGATCATTGTTCATGCTACTCAACAAAGTGATGCGAGCAGTGTAATTTTTTTTCTTTCAGATGTCATAAGCTGCACTAGTCTCTTTTATGTTAGTGTGTGCCCTTCTTCAAGCTCTTCTATAGTCTGGTAAGAGTTTCAAAAACCCTTCGTTCTTCTAAGACATATTGAATTTTCATGCTCTAGACCTCATATTGTCACCATTTAGTTTTTCCCCTTTTTAAGTTTGGTAATTATGTTCTTAGATGCAAATGTCATTTCTTAAAAAACACAGATACACATAAAATTATGCACGTCATTCAATACTCAGAACATACATATTTTCGTTAACATCAATTAATTATTCAACAATAATCTCATATTATTTAGAATCAATTTTTCTCTTTCTGTCAACAATCATCATCTAAAATACTAATATTTAATCATCATTAATATAATTAATTGAGTAAGGAATTCTTATAAAGTTACAAAAACTTAAATTCATACTCAACGAACAACATCTCATTCCAATGATGATTTAAATATATTCTAGATATATAAATAAAACAAATTTCATTGCTAAAACAGAACTAATATTTACAAAGAAATTCAAATGCTCCAATTAATAATAAAAAATTAAATCAATACTCATTATATGGACCAAGAATACTTTGTAGCCTATCTCTATGGTCCTTAACTAGCTCATAATGGATCTTAGGCAATGATTTCCTATCATCTTATGGTGTCCTTTACGAGTGGAAACACCATTGAAGCATAAGTTGTTCTCTTAGCACCAATTTAATATTCTTGATGAAATCTTCAAGTGGAGTCGATAATATTTACACTCCATCTTTTCCATAGAATTTCAAGGAAACCAGCAAGACTTGAGTAATGAGAGTTTTGTTTGAGAGCATTAAACTTTATATCCTCCCAATGTAACCCCCTTCCTAAACAATTTCTAATATCATTTCATTCATATAAAATGATTCACTAGTTGACTAACTCATTTTCTTTTCCATTTGGTTCTAACTTATAAACCACAAAGTGTCCTCTTCATCCTATCCACCTTTTCTCTTTGATGGGTTGTCCTAATAGTCTTTGGGGTTCTTCTAATCAACGTCATGAATTCAATTCTCTAACAAATACAAGAATAATATTTTTTTATTTATTCTTCAAATAAATAATATATGTGACATACACATATATATTAGATTTTTTCTGGATCCACCCCTTGTATCATTAATGATTTTTTCAATTGCCCCCTTGCCCTTTGGTAACTCCCTTTATAACACTAGGGGTAACGTTACCTTATCTGTAAACGATCTGATTGGATAAATGCATGGATTTAGACGGATTTTTCAAATTTGAAAACCCTCCATGTCTTAGAAAGCCATGGGCCAATAGTGGTTGGCTTTGATTATTATTTCCAAAGGTCCAATATGAGTAATAAAGGGAAATGGGCTATATGGGCTCAGCTGAAAATCCCAAGAAAGCCCAAAATAAATTTCACAAGGATGTAGGAGAGCCCAATATCATGAACAATATAAGGTTGCTCTCAAACTCAAAAGTCTGGGGCCAATTAGGGGTGTTTGTCTGAGCTTATGAAAATAGCTTTAAGCAACAGGTGCTATAAGCTAATTTTAGCTTATAAGCATTTGAAATTTTAAGCAATTACGTGTTTGGTTAAAGTACTTATAAGTGACTGATAAGTAATTGACGTGTTTGGTAAAATGTGGCTTATAGTACTTTTTATTATAAATGACTAAAAAAGGTACTACATTAAATAGGGTATACTATGGAATTTAAAATTAAACAAGGATAATGTGGTAATATACTTGGTCAAACTAGCTTATAAGCAGTGCTTATAAGCAAAAAAAAAAAAGTACCTCCCCCCAACTTATTTTTTTGGCTTATAAGCTCAACTTATAAGCTCAAAAAAATTATAAACAAACAGTCAGCTTATTTTAGAGCTATAAGCTAGTTTGACCAGCTTATAGCTTAGACAAACACCCCTAAATAATAGGCTTCAGTCTCCACATTATAGAAGTTTCATTCAACGCCATACGATTACGAAAGTAGTGACGAAATCAGAAATTTATTTAAAGATTAAAATAATTTTACTGAATATCAATGTATATATTATAATATATGAAGGATCAATATGTGTATAAATTTAATTTTTTTTTTTTTAATATGAACTAGTTCCTTCACCACCGCAAACCCCAATTCGATACAATAATGATACATTTTTATTTTAAGAAAAACTTGAATACTTTCTTCTACTTCAAATTCAGAAAAATGTTTTTCGAATATTTTTTTTTTTTCCTTTTCAGATATATTCCAAGCAATCAATCTAGTGGATTGACAACTATCTCTAGTAGTTTGGCGGTTCGTTTGGAACTCTTGGTGAATTACAAGAGATTTTGAGTTTGAAGCCTAAGCCAATAATACGCTTGCAGAGACGTCGTCGTCGCGATCGTGACTGGCAGCATGCAGCCCAAGCATGCTACGCACTTGTGAGCTCCCCTTTCAACCCGTCTTGAAACACGAATCAAGGAGTCTAACATGTGCGAGAGTCAACGGGCCAATAAACTCGTGAAGAGCTAATTGGTGGATCTCTTATAGGTTGCACTGTCAACCTACCTTATCTTTTGTGAAGGGGTTCGAGTGTGAGCATGCCTGTTGGGACCCAAAAGATGGTGAATTATGTCTGACCGAGGTGAAGCCAGAGAAACTCTAGTGGAGGCCTGTCGCGATACTGACGTGCAAACCACGACTACTAATAAGGGTAGTCACTAAAGACTGTTAACATTGTTAACTTTAAAACCCTGATAGACTAATTGAAGTACGTTAAACTGGTCGAACGTCATCGGATAACTCAGGTTGTTAAACTCATCTAGAGGTGCAGAATATGCGGAAACAAAATGAAGAAAACAATAACTCATGGTTACTTACTTAATTAGTGTGTTGCCCTTGCTGAAGCTTAATCATAGATGCATATGTTGTATTATTAGTTTTTTTTTTTTTTTTTTTTTATTTTCTTCAGCTATTGGAGATCTTTTTGGTATATGTAATTTCACTTTATAATATCATGAAGACAGACTTGAAATTGTCTTTTGTGAATTTGTGATAGGCTCCCCTGTTTTAGAGCTAATATGGCTTGTTAATATTTACTGTCATTATTTGTGTAAAGAAACGAGATATTAAGTTTTGAATTTTTGGAAGTAGTTATAGAATGAATTTTAGTGACAAAAATCATTTAACAGGCACAGTGTTGAATTCTATTGACGTTTCACCAATTTTGCTTGCTGTTTTGGTTTAAACTCCATGATCTTGTTGTTCTGTAACCTCGACCTTGCTCAGCATTTACATTCTTTCTCACATCACCATTGCTCTTATCATAAGATTTGTTGTTTTCCTTTATTTCTATATGTTTACCCACATTTTTATCTGATTGCCATGACAGTCAAATCAAAGATAAAAATGTGATCTAATCTTTTCATTAATTTTTGTTTATTACATTGTGGGAATGTTTTATCACAGAAGAAAATAACAATAATTCACTCTTATCATTTTTATGTCAAATCTAATTCTGCTTCTCTATCCCTGTATCTGCTAACAACGTTTCTTAGTTATCAATGCATAAAGTTTTTGTTTCATTTTGAGCAGACTAATTCTTTTCCTAAGTACCAATTGCACTTAGATTGTCCAGCCATCTTTTGCTGGTGTGGTGAGGATATATTCTAGAAAGGTGAATTACCTTTTCGATGATTGCAGTGAGGCTTTGCTTAAGATAAAGCAAGCTTTTCGCTCAACTGCAGTTGATTTGCCGCCAGAAGACGACTGCGCCATATCACTCTTACACCTTGCCAGACTTTTGATCTTGATGATTTTGAGTTGCCAGATAATGATTTTTTCAGGGTTAGTTCCAAAATGTTCTAGTTTGTTTTCAATTTCATTGTTTATTTCCAAACTTAGAGCCTAATTCTGTAATTATTATCGCATAAGAAACACCTTTTTCTGCATAGGAGACGTTTTTAAAATGTTATGTTGTTTGTAGCACCATTAATAACCCAAGTATTAAATGTTTCTTCTCATATGATCTATTTAATTATAATGAGGGATCATAGTTTTGCAAATTGATACTCATATTGATGGTAAATTGTTTAGTTAAGCTGCCCAGTGGAAGAATTCATTCTGTACTACTTAAATCTTTTTGCAGTAACTATGTTGATCATCACGTCAGTACAAGGGAGCAAATTACCCTCAGATACCATGGATGGCGTGGTTTACCCACATCTCAGTTTGGATTGGATGTAAGGACTTCTGCGCGTCATCTTGTGGAGGGTTTACTGCCCTCACCAGCTGGATTGGGCACTTTACTAGTTAATAATGTTTGTTGGCATAATTTATTTGTCTTTGTTAAATTTTTTATGATTTGTTTCCAGAGCGGTTTGGTGATGGTGATGCATCTCAGATTGGTTTAGACCTTGATGGTAATTACTTCATGCTTCCTGGTACAGTTGTAGCTGGTAGTTGATAAGTTTCTTAGAAATAGCCTAAATTGCCAGTATTTAGTTTTCTACTTTATGTGTTGTCATTTATTATTTGTTGGTTACAATAAACAGGAGCTCAAGGGTTACAGCTGCAGGGCATAGGCGGTTTCAAAGTAAGCTCTTATATCTATAGCTCACTTTTGGTTTCTTCATTGGTCATGCCCTTGTTTGGATACCTGATTTTATGATTATTTGGTGTAAGCGTTTTATGTAATGCATCACCATTCAATTCTTCCATCGATTATTCTTTTCAATACGTGTGTTTTCACCTATTTTTCATTAGCTTGATTTTTTATGGTATGAAAAGGTGTTGGTACCTTGTTATGTGGTTGTGGTCTGTCTAAGCTATCACCTATATGTCATAAGTCAATTATCTAACTGCTAAGTGCTTCATAAGTAACACATTTAAGCGCAATTTCAGACTGTTTCTTTGATGCTTTTGGCATGTTTGATAAATAGCTCTGATAAGGAATAATAATCAAGTGTGGTGACGTGGCTGGTGTTTTGCCACGGTGGAGTCAATTAAAAGTGGGTGAGTCATTGAACAAGCGCGTTGTTTTCAGTTGGAGCTAAAAGGGTTTTTCAAGTCATTCGTTTCAGCCCTCATTTTCCATCTCTAACATTTGTTCCAGAATGTGCTAAAGGGAGACGAAATCTGTTACTCATCTACAGCTGGATCTTCTTGGGTTTCCAAGTGGAGGCTGATCCTGGAAGGTGACTGATGTATAAATTGATTCCATTTGATATGGTTTGCAGCAAGGGGAAAAGGGAAGACGCTAGGGTTTCTTCGGGTGTATTCTTCTTTGCTCATTTCGTTTCTTTTGTTTGTTCAATACTCTATAAATGTCCTCTTGACTGTGATAGTAATGACATCCTATTTGTACCTTGAAGAGTGGATGTAGGCACCCAGCTGAACCACTATAATTTCTTGTGTGGATCTTTATCTCTTTACTTGATTGGTTTGTTAATGCTTGATGATTCAAAGATCTTAATCTGTGACTACTTTGTGTTTAACGATTGGTTGTTACCCAGAACAGAATCTGTGATTTTTTTTTATCTTGTTACACAGTTGATTTGTTAGCCCAAGATCTGCAATCTGTGATAACTTAGGACAAAAGAAAAAACAAAATCCTAACAAGATTGGTATCAGAGCCTGGTTTAGGGCTTCGTAAAGTGTTCTGTTTTTGTTTGAGTATTCTGTGACCAGTTTTCTTAGGCTAAAATTTTAATCATGTCCTAAATTCGAACTTGAAAGTTTCAGGTGAGAATGATTTTAGTTTGTGGAAAATGAAGTGATGGCTACTGATCAAGGAAGGGCTAGCCTTATCCTAAAGGAAGAGACTGAACTACCAGAGACCATGAAAGATTCCGAGAAGCAGGAAATGCTGACAAGCCAAAAGCTCCTTGATCCTTGATTGGGTGACAAAGTCCTTCGGAGGTCAAGAAGGAGAAGACAGCTGTTGAAATCTGGAAAGGTTAAACTCTCTCTATCAATCTAAAACTGTCCCTAATAGATTATTTTTAAAGCAGAGGTTTTGTTGCTTTAAATGGTGAGCAGAAATCTTTGAAAGATAATAGATGATTTTTTGAAAGTGATTCAGGATCTAGAAAGTATTTCTTAGATATTGATGATGAGGATCAGCAGTAATCTTGTTGAATGCTTTACCTAAATCTTATTCTAACTTTGTGGAAACCCTTAAATATGGTAGACACACTGAAGTTAGAAGAGGTAGTGAGGTATTTTCCGCCAAGGATAGTGAAATAAGATAAGAGATAAAAATAGTGGTGATGGTGAAGGTCTTAATGTTAGAGAGAGATCAATAGAAGAATTGGAAAAAGGGAGGGCAAAATAGGAATGGTCTAAGTCTAGGACAGGAAATAGAAAATGTTTCTTTGCCATAAGGAGGGTCATTTGGAGAGACTGTCCTGAGAGAAAGAACAAGCAGAAACCTGAAAGAGATAGTGAGGGAGGCAGTGCTGGTTGCATTTGAGGGATATGAGAGTTCTGAAGTTTTAGTTATTTCTGAGGGTAAAACCAGTGAGGAGTGGATCCTAGACTCTGGGTGTTACCTACCACATGACACTAAATAGAGAATGGTTCAGCTCATTTCAACCTTTATGTGGTGGAAAGTTATGATGGGGATAATGTTGTGTTCATATAAAAGGTATAGGCACAGTTAAGCTAAATCTTCAAAGTGGTGTAACTAAAACTCTCACAAACGTTAATATATCCTTGACCTGAAAAGAATTTAATCTCACTAGGACCTAGATTCTAATGGGTTTAGCTATAAGGCAGCAAATGGCAGCCTTAGTGTCATGAAAGGATCTCCAGTTGTCATGAAAGCTGAGAAGAAAATGGGTTACATGTGTTGAAGGGTAGAGTGGAGAGTGGAATTGCTACTGTTGGGTCAACAAAAGTTCAAGTATAACTTTATTGTGGCATCAAAGACCTGCACATGTTGAGAAGGGCTTAGTAAACTAGCAAGCAAAACCTGCTGTGTGGGGATAAGATTGGAAGTCTAGCTTTCTGTGAACATTGTGTCTTTGGGAAAATGAGTAGAGTTAAATTCGGATCTGGTCAACACTACTCAAGTTCACCACTTGAGTATGTTCACTCAAATGTTTAGGGCCATCCAGGCACTACTCACTAGGAGGATGTAGATACTTCATTAGTTTTGTTGATGATTATTCTAGGTATGTGTGGATCTATTCCTTAAAACCAAGGATGAGGCATTCTCTAGGTTTAAGGAATGGAAAGTTATAGTAGAAACACAAATTGGAAATAAGTTGAAGAAACTTAGGACTGATAATGGTCTAAGTTTGTAAATGAAGAATTTAACAGTTTCTGTATGATCATGGAATTGTGAGACACAAAATAGTACGGAATACCCCACAACAAAATGGTCTTTGTGAAAGGATGAATCATTTTAGAAAGAGTTAGGAGCATCATGTCTAGCTCTAAGCTGCCAATAATTCTGGGCAAAGGCAGCACACACACAGTCACCTAATCAACAGAACTCCATCTTAGTCAATAGGTTTTAGGGTCCCTCTGGAGAAATGGACTGGTCATCCTGTAAAACTAGAAAACCTTAGAGTTTTTGGGTGTCTTGCTTATGTCCATGTTAGAGAGACAAATTAAAACCTAGCCATTAAATGTATCTTCTTAGGTTACCCAAATGGGGTAAGGCATAAACTCTGGAACTTAGAGTCTAAGAAATGTATCATCAGCAGAGATGTTGTTTTTAGAGAAGAAATCCTACCTGGCCTTGGAAATGATTCTGAAATTTAAGGGCAGTCCATCAGGATCAGATTCTTAGAACTAGAACTTCAAAACCCAAAAGATGATCAAATTGTGATCAAGGTGGAGCTGATGAGATTCAAGCTGAAGAAAACAATTGAAAATTTTGTGGGTGATCAAAATGGTGAACTTAAGGTGAGCAGTTGAACCATGGTGATGATTAGGGTTGTCTAATTACCACTATCTGAGAAAAGAGTTAGAAGGGTAATCAAACCTCCAAGCAGATTAGGGTATGCTGATCTGGTGGCTTATGCTTTACAAGTTGAAGATGATATGAGTGATGAACCCAAGTCTTTTCAAGAGGCTGTGTCAGGACCAGAAAAATTGCAATGGCTTAAAGCATTGAAGAAGAGTTTTCTTCCCTGATAAAGAATGAAACCTAGATTTTAGTAGATAAGCCAAGAAATTGTAGAGTGGTCAAGTGTAAATGGATTTTTAAAAGAAAATCAGGTTTAAACCCAACTGAACCACCAAGGTATAAGGCAAGACTAGTTGCAAAGGGGTTCACACAAGTGGAGGGCATAGATTACAATGAGATTTTTTCCCCAGTTGTTAAGCATTCCTCTATCAGAATTCTGCTGTCACTTGTTGTCCAATTTAATCTAGAATTGGAACAATTGGATGTGAAGACAACTTTCTTACATGGAGATTTGGAAGAAACCATTCTGATGGAGCAGCCAAAAAGACACAGAAATGTTGCAGGTAAAGTTTGCTTACTTAAAAAATCCTTGTACGGTCTGAAACAGTTACCATGACAGTGGTATAAAAAGTTTGATTCATTCATGATTGAGATAGGTTTTAATAAGATGCAATTATGATAGTTGTTTCTATTTTAAAAGAGTTTCTCAACTGACTTACATTTTCCTTCTATTGTATGTGGATGATATGCTTGTGGCTTGTCATGAACAATCTGAGCTGTCTCGGTTGAAAAAGATTCTTAACACCAAATTTGAGATGAAAGAGCTAGGTCAGGCTCAAAAGATTCTTGGGATATCAATCATTAGAGACAGAGTTCATGAAAGTTTAAAGCTGGTTCAGGAAGATTATGCTGAAAAGATCCTGCAAAAGTTCAATATGAAGGATGCAAAGGCTGTCCAAACTTCCCTTGGTCAGCATTTTAAGCTGTCTTAAGATCAGAGTCCCCAAACTGAAGAGGAAAGACTTGAGATGTCATCAGTCCCTTATGCTAATGTGTTGGGTAGTCTAATGTGTTTGATGATATGTTCAAGACCTGACTTGGCCTATTCAGTAAGCATTGTGAGCAGGTTCATGCGTAATCCAGGGAAGATCCATTGGTCTGCATTAAAATGGATCTTGAGGTATATAAAGGGGACCAGTTCAGTAGGTATAGTGTATAGGAGGAATCAGAAAGAAAACTGTTGTGTTGAAGGATTTGTTGACGCAGACTATGCTGGTGATGTTGATAGAAGGAAATCAACTTCAGGTTTTGTCTTTATAGTATGGGGAAACATTGTTAGTTGGAAGTCTAAGCTCCAACACATGGTTACATTGTCTTCAACTGAATCAGAGTATGTGGCACTAACAGAGGCAGCAAAAGAAGCAAAGTGGCTGAAGGGTTTTGTGACTGAGTTAGGTTTAAGACAGAGGGCTGTAACAGTTTACAGCGATAGTCAAAGTGCCACACATCTTTGTAAAAATCAAGTATTTCACGAACGGACTAAACACATTGATGTTCGACTCCACTTCATTAGAGAGATGATTGATAGAGGTGAAATAAAGGTTGAAAAGGTGGATGGTTCTCACAATCCAGCAGATATGCTTACAAAACCTGTCACTGGTGACAAACAAAGGCTCTGTATGAGCCTTCTTAGTGTTACCTGAGCAGAAGTCTTTTTTCCAAGGCCAAATAGGGTGTCAAAACAAAAGCCATGATGGAGAATTGTGGTGATGTGGCTTGTGTTTGCCACGGTGGAGTCAATTAAAAGTGGGTGAGTCAAATTGATGCAGCGACGTTGTTTTCAGTTGGAGCTAAAGAGGGTTTTTCAAGTCATTCGTTTCAGCCCTCAGTTTTCCATCTCTAACAGCATTTGTTCCAGAATGTGCTAAAGGGAGACGAAATCTGTTACTCATCTACGGCTGGATCTTCTTGGGTTTCCAAGTGGAGGCTGATCCTGGAAGTTGACTGATGTATAAATTGATTCCATTTGATATGGATTTGTAGCAAGGGGAAAAGGGAAGAAAGCTAGGGTTTCTTCGGGTTGTATTCTTCTTTGCTCATTTCGTTTCTCTGTTTGTTCAATACTCTATAAATTGTCCTCTTGACTGTGATAGTAATGACATCCTATTTGCACCTTGAAGAGTGGATGTAGGCTACCCAGCTGAACCACTATAATTACTTGTGTTGATCTTTATCTCTTTACTTGATCTGCTGTTTGTTAATGCTTGATGATTTAGAGATCTTAATCTGTGACTACTTTGTGGTTTGGAACGATTGGTTGTTACCCAGAGAACGGAATCTGTGATTTTTTTTTTTTTATCTTGTTACACAGTTGATTTGTTAGCCCAAGATCTGCAATCTGTGATAACTTAGGACAAAAGAAAAAACAAAATCCTAACACAAAGATTAGTTTGTCTCGTTGGTGAATTATCCCCGTTTGCCTAGTGTATGCTTTGAAATGTACACAGAGAAACACATAATATTTTGAGGAAGAAAATAGGTTTGCTCTGTGAACATACTCCCCCACATGATGCAGTTGAGTCTATCGGGTTGCACATATTTTAAATGTGCTTGTTCTTTAGGATTTGAGTGGAAGTTTAATGGTTTTTCCTTTTCAGTTTTTGTCAATGATATAATTTTTCTCATGATAGAGAGGCCGTTACTTAATAGGCTGTCAGAATTGTGGGGATGCTGATTTATCTATAAAATTATATGGAACAATTCTGATGTAACTTTATTCCCTACAGTGCTGATCCTCAGGGATCTGTCAAACCATTGACACCTTGGGAACAAGATAATATTACTGAGCAGATAAACGAAACTTCAGAAGCCGCAACAATGAATGACAATGCAAATCAGGTTAATTTTAATATTTCCATAATATTATGTCTTAGGTTGTTTCTGTATTTGTTATTTAGTATCTTGCTTATTTGAATATTGTGAGGATGATTTGTGTTCTAGATTTGGTCTCATAGTTACTACCTCTTTCCATTGCGACCAGCTTGAAAGACTCGGGTGTCCATGCGGAATCTGTTGAGTATGCTAAAGCACCATCTACTCCAGGACTGGTACAAGAGCCAAATTTGCCCTGTGTGCAGGAGGCTTTGGCCTGTGATGATCATTTGGAATCAGAAGATCGCAATTCTAATGAGTTAGTGGCTGCGGTGAGCACAATGAATCCTTTAAGTAAGCTGGATTGGTCTTTACAAAATAATTCAAATTGTGATATTGTTCAGTGCACGCTTCCTCAGGAGAATGGCCACCATGTCAGAGATCTGGAGGTCAAACAAGCAAAGCCACTTGGTAAACTCTGTCAATTCGATGCCTATGATATCAAAGTGTTCAGAGGGCACCAGATGGTTCAGACAGAATAAAAAATTTAAAAAACATGCAAAATGTTTTTCTTGTACGAGAAAATTGAGATTCTAAGATTTAGAGGAAATTGATCATAGTTTCTAAATGACTTGCTTCTATATCAAATTATAAAGCTTTTCTCTTTATTGAAATATGTCATCTCAAATAAATTGATTAAAATTTCATTAAATATGATGAATCGGATTCAAATTAGTTTAAAGTTTTTTGAATTCTTGAGTATGATAAACTAAATAATTGGTTTCAAACTTTATTAAAATACAAGTTAAATATAAATATTAGCGAAAAAATAAAAATAAAAACAGTTATGGTTCATCTCTATTAAATATGGGAAAAATTTACAGTCTCCCTAGACTTTGTTAACTACACAAACGTTTAACAAATTAAAATATGAACTTGTCTAAAACTTCTCTGAAAGAAGGGTTATTTGTCTTCACACGTAAATCGTCTCTGAAACTCAGACCATTATTCTATTCATGGCTGGTTTGGAATCTCACCCATTTCCCTCTGCAAATCAAAAGCAATCAGGCAATAGTTAAATAACATAACAAAGGCCAAAGAAAGTTATCACCTGTATTTAAAACTTGAATATCAATGAAATGAGAAGAAAATTAACCTAAATTTCAAATTCTTCTGCCTCTTTCGGTTCCAATTTTTGCAAATTCAACTCTAATTTTCAACAGTCTTGTTATTGCTTCTTTTATGTTGATCCTCTCCAGAGTTGATTCTCTTGTGCACTCTATAGCCAAACTCAAGATAGATGATACACATTCCTCCTTTCTAGAGAAATGTTCATCATCCCTTCTTAGCAAATTTGTGTCCACAACTTCCATTATTGTTCTACATGATGATTCACCAACCCAGCTCCTTAAGCTCATTCCCTCAATAAATATTTCGTCTGTTGGTTTCTTCCTTGTAAAGGTTTCCATTAGCATAATACCATAGCTGTATACATCCCCTTGTCTAGATATTTTTCCTTCTCTTCCATATTCTAATAGAGATCACATGCACTTTCATAGTTACTAGGAAACAAAGAAAGTTTAATGGAAAAAATAAAAAAATAAAGCATACTGAACTAGAAACAGTTACCTGGAGCCATATAACCAATGGTGGCAAGGGTCTGTGTTTGTGTCATAGAGTCTTCTTCACCTAAGAGCTTTGCAATACCAAAATCACTCAAATGTGCAACCATATTTTCATCTAGCAAGACGTTGCTAGGCTTTAAGTCACAATGAATAATGGGGACTAAATAACCAAAATGGAGATATTCCAAAGCTGATGCAACATCAATCATTATGTTCAACCTTTGTGAAATGTCCAAAACGTTGTTGTCAGAATGCAAGCACTTCTCAAGGCTCCCGTTAGACATGTACTCTAGTATCAAAGATTTAAAATCATCATTTGAATAGATGCTAATGATTTTAACAAGATTTCGATGACGAATATTACTCAATATTGCACATTCAGCTTCAAAACTTGTAAGCGCTTCTGCAAAATGCAAGTGGAATACCTTTACTGCAAGCTCCATCCCATCATGTAATCTTCCTCTGAAAACTGAACCATAACTTCCTCTCCCAAGCAGGTTGTTCTCACTGAATCCATTTGTTGCTCTCACAAGTTCATGGTAAGAAATTCTTCTCCATGTACGTTGTGGATACATCTCAACATGTGTAGGTGGCCTTGTTCTCTTTTTTCGGCATTTCATCAACACAAATATAAGAACAAAGACAACCAATGTGAATGTAATGCTTAGTGGCAAAGCAATGAACAACATAACTTTTCTTGAACTTGACTTTCCATGTGTTCTGGTTTTGCATAGTGGAACATGCAGTCGAGAAGAACCACATAATGCAAGGTTCCCCATAAATGATTCAATTGAGAAATTTCCAAAGCATCCTCCTTTAGGAATTTCACCGCTTAGTTGGTTGAAAGATAAATTTAGATATTTAAGGTAAAAGAGTACCTCTAAAGACTTGGGAATCAATCCAGAAAGATTGTTACTTGACAAATCCAAGAATTCCAAGCTTATCAAGTTACCAAATGTTTCAGGAATTGAGCCTTGTAATCTATTGAATGCTAAGGAAAGGTTCTGTAGATTTTCTAGGCTGTCAATAACAGTTGGAATATTTCCTGAAAGAGTATTCCTTGACAAATCTATGTTTATCGCAACCTTAAGATTTCCAATCTCCAATGGAAGAGATCCATTCAAAGAATTTGATGACAAATTCAAGTACAAGATATCCTTAAGGTTCCACAAAGTTGAGGGTATAAAAGAAGTTAATTTATTGAAACCTAACGACAATTTTCTAACTGTAGTGATATTACCTAAGCATGCAGGTATGGATCCATAGATCTTGTTATCACCCAACTGCAACTCATACAATTCATTCAATTGACAAAGACTACTTGGGATGAATCCTTCCAATTTATTATGTTCAAGATTCAAAGCTTGGAGTTTCTGTAGTCCACCAAGTGTAACTGGAACTGATCCAGTCAATTCATTGTCCTGTAGTCCTATTTCTATCAAGTTGCTTAAGTTTTCAATTTCTTTGGGAATGGTTCCCCTAATGTTGCATTTATCCATGTATAACCTTTCCAAAGAAACAGAAAGATTGCCTATAGAACTTGGAATGATGCTATTCAGAGGATTTCTTCCTAAATCTAGCCGCCTTAAATTCTGGCAATTTGTCAAAGGCGAAATTAAACTCAAATCTGGAGTAGAAGATGTCAAGTAAGATGTCAAGTAATTACCAGATAAGTAAAGCCGCTCAAGATTTTTTAAGTTACCAATTGTTTCTGGGATGAAGCCTGAGAATGAGTTGTCTCCTATGTCTATAGTAGAAAGCTTGGAAGCATTGGTAATGAAACCAGGAAATGGCCCAGTGAAATTATTAACTCCCAAGTAAAGCCCCTCAAGGTTTGGAAACTCTGCGGTTGATGGAGGAATTCCCGAAAGCTCATTGAACGAGAATGAAAGGGTTTTCATTGTTGAGATGTTGTAAATAGCAGCTGGGACAGGACCCACAAGGTTGTTCCATTCAAGAATTAAAAACTCGAGATTACGGAGATTACCAATTTCATATGGTATCTCACCTGAAAAATAAGAGTTCAATTAGTGAATTAGTTTACAACAAGAAGAGATTCTTAAATAATAACATAAAATTTGTTCAAGCGACGATGAATTCATTGATTAATGTCAAGTTCCCAATTCTCTTGGAATATCTTTTGTTATTGTCCAAACTGTATGGAATTGGATTTGTGAGCTGGTTAGGAGAGATATATACATATATGCCTTCAAAATTAGGCAGATGTTGACACCTTTTGCTCGGAAGGCAATTATCCACAAATTTCGTGTAAATTAAAGAAGAAATGTTGAAATAAGTGAAGGAATAGTTCAATTACTGAATTGGATTACGACAAAATGACATTATTCTATTATAAAAAAAAAATTGAGAGAGTTTTATCTTGTACCTATCAATTTGTTGTCGTCAATAAATAGGTACTTGATTAATGTCAACTTCCTAATTTCTTTCGGAATTTCTCCGACAAAATCAATATAAATAAGCAATTGTATTGTTTAGAAAATTTCTAAAAGGAAAATTTGTAAAAACATTTATAAACAAAGTTTCATATAAAATACCTTGGAGGTTATTGTATCCAAGATATATCTCTTTAAGTTGAGTCAAGTTTCCAATTTCTCCTGGAATATGCTCTCTGAATTGGTTATCATAAAACTTCACAGAACGAAGCATTCTACATTGCCCCAAATTGTGTGGAATTGGACCAGTGAATTGATTATAAGACAAGTGCAACGTTTCAAGATTAGGAAGATGTTGACACATGTTTTCTGGAAGGCTACCGCTTAGGCTATTATTTGAAAAGTCCATGAAAATCAAAGAAGAAAGGTTGAAGATAAGCGAAGGAATAGTTCCCATTAAGGAATTATTTGCGAGTGATAATTTCTCCAGTATTGTAAGATTGCCAAGCTCTTTTGGAATCTCTCCTACAATATAAACAAGCAATTGAGATATTTAGAAAATTTCTTAAAACGAAATTAAAAAAAACAAAAAAAAATTGTATAAACAAGATTGCTTTTATCTATACACACAGATATGTATAAATATATATACCTTGGAGTTTACTGCTGTGAAGATACATCCTCTTAAGCTGGGTCAAATTTTCGATTTCTTTGGGAATGGCACCTGTGAAATAATTGAAAGACAGGGATAAGTTTTGCAATTTTTTGCATTTTGATAAAGTGGATGGTATTGTGCCCTGGAACATATTAAAATGCAAGGCAAGCAGTTCCAAATTGGGAAGATCATCAAAAATGCTTTCGGAGACTTCGCCAGATAATCTATTATAACTGAAAGAAAGGTGTTTCAGTAGACGTAAGTGAGCCAAATCCTCAGGGAGGGAGCCATAAAAGCTGTTGTTCCTGAAGGTTAGCGTTGCAAGGAAAGATAGATTTCCTAGCTGAGGAGGAAGGGTGCCTGTGAGACCAAAGTTAGAAATATTCAAAGCTCTAACTCTATGGTGACGGCCAGCACAAGTGATGCCAGTCCAACTACAAACAGAAGAACTTGTGGACCAATTGTTGGCCAATATATTGCTAGGATCGTGGCTTATACAAGCTTTCAGAGCAAGAAGAGCTTGTTTGTCTGTGGAAATGTCGGTTACTTCCGCATTAACAAAGGAAAGTGGTGAAAAAGGAACTAAGAAAGCTATAACAATGCAGAGGGAAAGGTTTCTCTCCATGGGATTAGAATGTTGCGTGGTTTTAGTGTGGGCAATTGGGACATGCACAATTACACAAGACTGATACTTATAAATAAACAACGGATGATTATTTCCAAAATTCAACGTCACTTGTCCCCATCTCTCTTGATATTGATTGAAGGAGAAACGCTTGCCTCATAATACATTTTATACATTGTAAAAATCTTGAAAACATTAATTACGTCCAATATTTACGTGTAAAAAATGGTGTAAAAAAGAGGGTAAGTCAATGATTAATTTTTTGGGCTCATGCAATACGAGATGTGATAGGAAGTCATATTCACCGCCTAGACGCTGAAACAATTAGATGCAGAAATAATCTTTATCAAGAACAAGAGTGACTAGTAGTCACCATTAACAGGGGTCCAATTTGTATTGATAGAAGCCTATTGACTTATAATTTATTTAAAGTTTTTTAAAGAGGAATTTCCTCTTATCTCTTCAGGAGGTGTTGGGTGGTTCTCATTTGTTTCCCTGGACAAGCAATCAAGCTATAGATATAGTCAGTTGACTCAGCTTCTTTCTACAAGTCACCATGGCAGCTAGTGTAAGTCTTGTTCATATATCATTTTCAAAAATCGTTTCCAAAGGGCAAGAAAATATTTCAAACAAGTTACCGACGTCGGGCAGCTGGGTATGTCTTTTTTTAGGTATCATATTTATAAATCTTTTTCAACTTAGATATTAAGTTGAAAAACTTTTATCACCTCAATAAAATAGTAAATGACAGAGATTGAGTAAAAAACATATACCAAAACAGAGGAAAACAAAGCTAAAACATAAGCAAGGTTATATATATACCATGAATGTGCACATTATTAAATACATAATAATTAAAATTAAAAGGGAATAGAAAAGTACTAATCAAATTTCCATTCATGTTGTGCTTAAATTAACCGCACAATGATATTGATACTGTACCCTAGAGGAAATGACATTGAAAATGATAGGTGATTTCTATTATCACATTGAACTACAAGGGGAAAAATGCTTATTACAATGGAAATATTAGCCTCTTAATTATAATATTCCAAACAAGTTGCTCCGGCATTGACAGCTGGGAATGTCTTGTTTAAAAAATTAGACTAGTAAATGAAAGAGATTGAATAAGGAACATAGGCCAAAACAGAGGAAAACAGGAGCAATGTAGAATAATTATCAATGAAAAGAAAAAGGAAATTAACTTAAATTTTACAGCTTTCTAACTTTTGCTGTTACCATATTTGCTAGAAATGTTACTCTAATTTTTGAAGAGTCTGATTACTACTTCAATGTTCATCCTCTCATCATTTTAAGTATATACCATGAATTTCAACATTATTCAAATATATAATAATTAAATTTGAAAGGGTCAAGAAAATTTGAAAATTATTATTTTTATTAATTAATATTTGGGCGCACGCTACTATTCTCATATGTCTACTATATTGAGAAGACCAAGACTTATAAACTTACCCAGACTTTCATTCGCTAGTAGTATAATAGTACGAGATGGGCAATAAGTCTTGTTTATGGCTCACGATGCACAAACAGTCTTTAGCAGTGAGAAAAGTAGAGTAACTATTGACTCAGTTTTTTTGAGAAGAATTTTCTCTGTATCTCTTTAGTAGGTGTTAGGTGGTTCTCATTTGTTTCCTTGGACGAGCAATCAAGCTATAGTCAGTTGACTCAACCTCTTTCTACAAGTCACCATGGCAGCTAGCGCAAGTCTTCTTCATATATCATATTCAAAAATCATTTCCAAAGGGCAAGAAAATGTTACAAACAAGTTGTCGATGTCTGGCACTTAGGTATGTATTTTTTTAGGTATCATATATAAAAATCCTTTTCAATTTAGATATCAAGTTGAGAAACGTTTATCACCTCAATGAAATAGTAACTGATAGAGATTAACTAATGATCAAGACAAAACAGAGGAAACAGAGCTAAACATTAGGAAGGTTATATATATACACCATGAATGAGCACATTATTAAATACATACTGATTAAATTAAAGGGAGAAGAAAAGTACTACTTTTGAAGATTATATGACATGGATTTCTCTTTTTGTTTCAGTTCGTATTTAACTCAAGTTGTCATTCCCGTTGTGTTTAAATTAACCACAATGATATTGTTATTGTTGGAAAAGTGGCTCATTTAGCAAATCACATGGGAGTAGAAGTGATAATGGAAAAAGGTTTAGGGACTTATATGTAATAGGCCAAAATGTTTACTTACGGTTTGTTCCCACATTGTCTTGGAATGAAAGTGGAAAACTGGGGCCTATATAAAGGGACCTAATCATTGTTATTGTATCCCAAGATGTAATTCCATTATACTTCTTTTGTTTAGTGTCTTTCTTTAAGGACCCTTTAGTTTGCAAGTTTGTTGTATCTACATCTGTTTGGGTATTTGTTGTATTGCCCAAAAGTTTGTAAATTGTTTGGAGATGTGGAGTTTTCTTTTGCAGCGCCCGAGGACGTAGGTTTCAATACCGACCTCGTTATTTTGGTTATTTATTTATGTTTTACTACTTGTTATTATTATATTCAATAGCTAGCGTTAGAGTTTACGTTTCCGTTGCATAACAATTGGTATCAGAGCCTAGGTTTGGATAGTAAGTAGCTTTTGTATGGTTATATGCATGTCTAGGAAAATTCTATCAAAAGACGATAAAAGTCTAAGGAGACTGGATTTTAAGTGGGACCATTTGTAACCCCTCCATGTTTCCTGGGAATTTTCCTGGTGCGTATTTAATCATTTCAACACTTCTACTACCTAGGGCTATTGTGTGATTTGTTGGTTAGCTATTGAATATAATATTTGTGGAGCTTGGTTATTGGGAATTTTGTGTACCAAGCCAATTGAGTAAGCATAAATGGCATCATCGTCCGAGGCATCATTGTCGCGGCACCACCATCCGTGCCAGTAAAGATGATAACGGTTTCAAATGCAAAATTGAAGTTGAAAAATTTGATGGCTAAATATTTTTGGCTTGTGGCAGAGTGAGGTAATGGATAGCTTGTATCAGCAGGATCTAGATATCATTCTGAGGAGGAAAAACCAGAAGATGTCATGAGAAAGACTGGGTGAGGTTGAATGAAAAAGCGTGTGGGATGTATTCGCTCATGTCTTTGTAGAGAGCAGAATATCCATTCATGAAAATGACTTCTGCCATAAGTTTAGGAAGGCGCTGGAAAACAAATAATGAGAGAAGAGGAAATCTCGTTCGAGGAAAAACTCAATAGGGATCAATGTGCCTTTTGTCGTGAGAATGGCATTGAAAGAAAGATTGTCCGAAGTTAAAAGAAAGAGGGCAAAGCTGCTTCTAATGCATGCGTTGTTGAGCGTGAAGAGGATGAGTCAGATTTCTGTCTAGTTAGCCTACCATCCACCTCTGGATCAATAGTGATTATGGATTCAGGTAGTACCTATCATATGTGTCCTCACCAGGACTGGTTCTTTAATTTGAAGAACGTGATGGAGTTGTTTATATGGGCAATGATGATGCTTGTAAAACAATGGGATAGGTTCAATTCTGTGAAGAATCATGATGGCTTGACTAGAACTCTGATAGATGTTCGGTATGTACCGAAGTTGAAAAAGATCTCATCTCTTTGGGAGCCGTGAATCTAAAGCTTCACGATGATTATGGCAGATGAAATTCTAAAGTTTCTTCAGGCGCTCTTTGTGTAATGAAGGCAAAGAAAACAACTTGTTACTATAATGGTAGTACCATTATTGGAACACGACAGCTGTAGTCGTACAAGAGGATGCAGATTCAGAAATGCTCAAACGGTGGCATATTGTGTGGAGCATACTCGGCAGCAGGTGGAGTTTGAAACAACAGTTGAACCAGATAGTGTCCACAAGATAAAAGTGATTCTGAGGTGACTAATGTGTGGATACTATTGAAAAAGGAGATTTTACCCCAAGAATCTCTCTCGCAACAGGAATCGATTGCATACAATAGTCAAGAGAGAAATTCGCAAGCCTGCTCGTTTCGCTAATATGGTAGCTTATGCACTTCCAATTGTAGGTGATGATATTCCTACTACTTATAAGAAGTAGTTAGGATTTCAAATTGTGAATCATGGAACCGGCCATGAATAATGAAATGCGATCCCTACATAAAAGGCGTTGGGTGCAAATAGGTGTATGCAAAGAAGAAGGGATTTCCTAATAAAGATGTTCGGCATAAGGTTAGGTTGGTAGTAAGGGATACGCTCAAATGGAGGATTTGATACAGTGAGTGTTTCTCCTGTGGTAAAGTATTCTTCCATTCTAATTTGCTAACCTTGATGGCACAGTTTGATTTTGAACTAGTTCAATTGGATGTGAAAATTGCGTTTTCACATGGTAGTTTGGAAGAGGAAATCTACAAGACTCAGCCGATGATTATAGGGTTGCTGGAAAGAAAAATGGTTTGCAGATTGAAGAATCGCTATATAGTTTGAAGTAGTCCCAAGACAGTGGTACAAGCGATTTGATCAATGTATGGTGGGCCAGGGTACACAGGCCTGATTTTCACAGCGTTAGTATGGTGAGCAGGCATATGCATGATCCTGGTAAAGGACATTTGCAAGTTGTGAAATGGTTTCTACAGTATATTTTATGTACTTAGATATTAGTTTAGTTTTTGTGTAGGATTATATTGAATAGGAAAATGATTTTCCAGAAATTGGCACAGAAGATAATCGTACAGACATGTTGACTTCAGTAGTGACAAGGGTCAAGTTCATTTATTGTTTGAACTGATCACCACCTAGAAGCTTGACTGTGTCTTTTGTTGCATTTGAAGGTGTGGCAAAATTTGACAGAAGAATACAAAACTTTGAAGGTTTGCTAATTCGCCAAGGTGGAGATTTGTTGGAAAAGTGGCTCATTTAGCAAATCACATGGGGTAGAATGATAATGGAAAAAGGTTTAGGGACTTATATGTAATAGCCAAAATGTTCTTTGCCCACATTGCTTGGAATGAAAAGTGGAAAACTTTTG